TGTTGTCATTGTAAACGATTTAGAAGGGTCCAAATATTACTTTACATTCTCGTTATCAACAATAAGTCCTTAAGATGTGATCTAAGGAATATATGATAAAATGAAGTTTTATAATTATTCAGTCAACAATCTCCTGAAAGAGTGCTCACAAGGGACAAAGGTAGGGTCATACGTTTTGCACACGTGAATCTAATGAGTTTCATATTAGTCCAATTAATAGACAAACGATCAAGTTAACATTATACTCAATTTAGAGTTACTGTAAATAAAATTTGATATGTGCTAATGTTTATAATTTAGTTTAGTGTTACTTACTACTTAATTGAAGTTTGTTATCAACCTTACACACCTCTGGTTAAATAGTTAAATATTATTAAAACAAATCATTGAAATGAAGTAAAATGGTGATGAATTCATGATCTTCTTATCAACCAAAAGATTTATTAAGATTGTGTTCTTTTGAGTAAGTTGTATATCACTCATGTTCTAGTCATAATTTACTAAATAGATTGGTAAGAGTGTAAATGTGCACCATCCTCGATTGTTTTTTCGTTATTTACATTATACTCACCGTAGCTTACATGGTTTTAAACAGTGTTAACGAAGAAAACGTAATTTTTGAAAAGAGCAAATAATTATTTGGTACGATTATTTACTAAGCTAATGATTCACACATCCAATTTCCATGCTGATAAATGAGACTGTTTCCATGTTTACTAACTAAAGAAAGAAGCCCAAGCTTGTCTAGAAGCTTTATTCACGTTTGAGTAGTTTCAATTATATACTCATTACATTCACTTAACATTTGTTAAAGAATTCGTTATGCATGATAAATATCGCTTGGACGAAAAATCACAATGAGTTAATACCAATGAAAGTACAATGAAAGTTAACTGATGGAAAATCAACTTAAATCAGTATGTGAAATTTAAGACTAATTTCTCTTATATTTATTTTTCCTGGAGCTTTCACGTCCCTGACGTTAATGTTCACATTCTCTATTTCCCTATTTGCTGACACTATGGTAATTAGTCAAGTTTCAATTTATGTCAAACCACATTATATTTAATTGCTTCTGTAAACTACTGACTTGTCAACAATTTTACGTCTCAGACTGACTTAAGATAATCATTGAAAACTAGTGGATGCAGGAGAGTTTCTTCATCCTGCTCATTAGTAGTGGGCATCCGCGACCCCACGTAGGATGAAATGCAGGAACTTCATGCACTGCCACGAGCACCTAACCTTTATACAACTGAGTTGACGTCCAATGGTTTACATTTCTAAGTCAAATCAATTCATTACGTTGCACAACAGTCATCTAATGTCACTGATGGTTATTCACATTTAAATATTTTGATTGTGACAACTATTTATCTGTATTTCTTGGGTATTTCATTGACACTGCCTTTAGATCTCATTACAAGCTCAGTAGATTACGAAATCGTTTTGGAGGATTACCGAATCATTTAAAAATGTCATTGCCCTAACATAACTTCTTTTATCTTCATTATCATTATAGTAACTATAACATCTGTTCTAATGTGTATTACTACTTTCTAACATACAAATACACCATGGATAACCTTGAAGCACTGGATGGCCACCTCGTCCTATTGCGGGACTCCTCAGCAGTGCGCATCCACAATCCCGCATAGCAAGATTCAAACCAAAGAATTATCGACCTCGAGCGCGAACGCTTAACCTCTAGACCATTGATCCAACGGTGTTAATGTCTACCTTCAACTAATCCAAGGAATTGAGTGACCTATCCATCATTGTATTCAGTGAGCTACTATCTCACAATAGACCCAGTTTAACTCCATTGGTTACTGCTTCTCATTAGAACTCTTGGGTTCGAATCTTACGAGACGGGATTGTGGATGCCCACTTCTGCGGAGTCCCACAATAGGACAAAACGGCCGTCCGGTACTTCCAGACCTTTCATGGTGGTCTAGCATCAATTAACTCAAGATCTCAACTATGAAAATTATTATAATATCCACAAAACCTCTTCTGATACTAATATAAATACACATAAATCTTAATTAGGTTTATTCATACACTTTTTATCCTATTCCCCTCATTACTTTTGTTATTATTAATATTATCTTAATTATGTTCCGAACATTTATTTAAAATTCACAAATGAAAGTAAATCAAAACATTTGCTAATAATTATATTACGGATTATAAATTTACATTGTATGCATTTGGTAAGAAACCATGGAATAGAATTCATTTTATTCTGCAAATCTTGTTGTTCTTATTTTGCTTGAAAGCATCTTTATACAACAAAAAGATCCTGATGAAAATCTAGATAAATGGAATACACCCATTCAGACATTAAATAAGAAAGATTAATTCAGCGAAGAGTTCTCTTTTCGGCGAACTCATTTTCAAAGCTGTACAATTACAAATACACATATACTTATTTTAAAGGATGATAATCTAGATTAATCATCAGTTTAATGGAATAATATATTGATATCAGATGCAATTTTACAGCAAACACAAATAGTGGGATACAATTACATCCAATTGATGAAATCTAAAATAGCATGACACGTCATTTTTTCTTAGATCTCATTTTCAGTTACAATGTAAAATTATGATCAAATCTATGTAGTAATTGACCGATAATTCCCAATTTAAACATAAAAAATAAAATATGAAGTTTAGCGAAGGGAATTTATTACACATCTATGATATTTAATTATTGTAACAAAAACATTTTACTGACTGAAATCATGAGTCAATTGAAGCTAGACCACCATGGAAAACCTGGAAGCACTGAACGGCCGTTTCGTCCTAGTATGGGACTCCTGGGCAGTGAGCATCCCCGATCCCGCACCCCACGAGCTTCGAACCCAAGATCTACCAGTCTCGCGCCAGGCGCTTAACCAACTAGACCACTGAGCCGGCATCCAACGGTGTTAAGCCGTTACCAGTGGAGTTCACCCAGGTCTGCTGTGAGATATCAACTCGCTGAAGACAGTGGTGTACGGTGGCGCAACTTCGTAGATTGGTTGAAGTTAGACATCAATACCGTTGGATACCGGCTCAGTGGTCTAGAGGTTAAGCCTTTACGCGCAAGACCGAAGACCCTCGGTTCGAGTCCCGAGGGCGGGATCGTAGATACGCACTGCTGAGGAGTCCAGAACTAGAACGAAACGGCCGTCCAGTGCTTCCAGGTTTCCCGTGATTGTTTAGCTTTAATCAACCTATGAATTAAACTACTAAATTACTACAGTCTCCGCAAAATCCCATTTCTGATATTTTGTGAAGTTTAAGAAAATGGATAACAAATTTACCTATATATGCTAATTAATAAAATTTTCCTCATTCTTGTATAGATACATGTACATATATCTTAGTAGACAGAATATAAACTGACGGATTACAAGTGACGTGAAAAGTTAATTAAGGAAAAGACGTATAATCCGTTATTATTATTTTTTATTCGATTACAATAACAAGTATGGGAATTAAGCCAAAACCTGAAAAAATAAACGTGTTAAGATAATAACAATATAAACCAAGTAATAAGAAGCATGTGAGAAATCAAAAATAGAAGTTATTAGCTTAAGGTATCGAACGTGTTGCGAATAATCAATTTAAGATTATGCTTAATGAAGAAGAGTTAACTAGTGAGAGAATGAAAAACGATAGTAATAAAGGGTTTGAAGAAGTTATATTATAGTAAGTTGCAGTTTCTCTGGCCGAAAAAATGAGAGAAGCATATTACAAGAAAAGTCTTTCAGAATGTTCACTTTTCACAAGAAAAAAAGTGAAGTTCAATTCGTGTCGCATATGAGACAGTTATCCACCTCAGACAATGGATGAAGGGTTGCGTAATTTCATGGATTGTTTGAAGTCAGACATTAACACCGTTTGAGGCAGGCCCAGTGGTATATAATTTAAGCCTTCGAAGGTCTTTGGTCCAGTAATTTCAAGTTTTCAATGGTAGTCTGGCTTAGATTGACATGTGAATTCAATTGTTATTACTATTACAATATCCATAATTCCTTTTACTGAAAATACTTATGCTCTATATTTTCTTTTTATTAAATGTTTAGATAAGGATTTCCGCTTTATTAAATGAGACTTATTCACATAAATCTATCTAAATAAAAGCCAAATTAAGTTAGTCATATTCCAAAAAACTGGCTTCATGATTAGTACATTTTGATGGGAATAATGTTAAACACCGGAAAAAGCTAAGCACCAAAGCTAACAGGTTTTAGATCCAAATTAAGAGACATTATATCCAATTATAGAATAAGTTATAAGTTGATATAGTCTTGAATAAACTTAATTTCAAGTCAATGAATCTGTATTATCTAGAATTCATTCACTTCATCTTTACAGTTTTTTTATTAATTGATATCACGTTCATGAACATGCATGTCAGAGATAAAAATTTCAGTTTCAGTTTGGAAAGGACAGACGTGTATTAGTTCTAACAATGTTGGTCTCTCTTAATTGTTCCAACTTTCTTTTGAAGGAGTCAACGGATGGATCCTCAACCACATACTGAGCTAATCAATTCCATTCATTGATCATTCGATAAGAAAGTTCCTAGTCAACTAACAAGATAATAATTCATCATATGAATCCAATCTAAAACTTATCACTTTACTTCCATACTCATTATTCAATAGTAAACAAACAAACACAAACATTTTCAAGGCAAAAAAAATTTAACAAACAAACATAATTTATCACCAATTTTAATCTTATTTTTAAATTACCAAGAATATTTTTCATAAACCTTAGACATCATTGAATTAATTTATTAACCAATCAAATTAAAGTAATTTCACTGTTTTTCTTCCCCTAATAATTTGATTGGATAATTCTTGCATATTGATTAATCAAACGACAGATTTGATTGGTCAATTCGACAACATATTTCTGACCAATAAAAAATGAAAGTTTATTATTATTATTATTATTATTATTATTATTATTATTATTATTATTCATTGATGGTAGTAAAAAGTTTTATAATTAACACGGAAATTGGATTTTGTGTTTAAAGTTTTAGGAATTGGACATCATCTTTTGTTTTCTCTTTTTTTTTAATGTCAGAATATACAACTTCTATCAAATCACCATAATTTATGTAAATCAATTCATGCAATACACATATTAGCAAAAATAGAATGAATCATTCATATAATCATAGTGATTTATTAACTATATCATCTATAACTATAAATAATGATAGTCGAATTGATTCAGAAACGCATACAATTACACAAATTTGTTTTTCATTAGCATTTTGTTCTACATTAATCCATTTAATATTTATATTATATTTTAAACGTATAAGAAAACTTTATGGTTTCTGTATCATGATACATTGTTTATTTTATTCAATTTCATATTTAATGACTTTAATTACATGTTCACTAAGTAAAAAAACTAATCTTATTCATATTATTTTTGGATATTTAGCCGATTATTGTATCTTGACAACTATAATCATGAATTTAAAATCATCATTAATGATTGTTTATTTATTATGGAATAGACGAGAAAATATGACTTGTTACCATGGAAACTATCAATTATGTAATTCTAGTAATGTATGTTTAAATCATATAAAAAAATTATGTTATATAATGGGACATATAATGGTTATCATTTTACCTATATTATGTATTGTAATTAGTATATTTTTATTTGAAACCAATAATTATATCAGTGAAGATCATAAAGAATTTGCTGTTATATCATGTAATTTAACACCAAATTATGGACATTTTTATATTTTCTTTCCAATATTATTTATATTATTATTATTACAATTTTCTTGTATTTTAATTATAATTAAATTACTTATTGGTCAACAACAAAATACTAATCATTATCATGATAATATTACAACATTATGGAAAACAACAAATATAAGTGCACGTTTTTGGATTACATTAAAATTTACAATTACACATAGTTTGATATGGTTGATTGCATTTTTAGCATTAATACAAGCATCTACTTCTATTTGGCATGTATTCACATTATTATATAGTTTACAAGCTATTTATATCACTGTAAATTGTACATTTACACGTCCTGTATTAGATTTAATTTATCAATGGCGTGAAGAAAAAATTGATTATTATAAAAATGAACATCATCTATTATTGATTAATCATATATTAAATACTAATCAACAAAATGATACAAAACAAGATCGAATCAATAATATATTGATTAATTATTAAGTAAAATTCTATATAAACATTGTTTATAAGCGGCCTGTTTGAGCATCTGAACTACCTGTTCCTGCCATCTAGATATTTCAACAAGTTATCTATTTTTGTTTGTTTTAATATATCATAATGTCTATTGATCGCATAACCTATCCTGGTGGATTTCTGAAAAGTGAACAACTTTTCATTGTCAAAATTACAAAAAGCCCAATAAGAGACAATGCGGTTGCTGGTAATATACAGCAAAAAGAATATACATTTACTGGACTGCTAACATCTAACTGGCGATCACTCAATATTTATCATCAGGATCGACCAAGAAGTAAGAAACAGAAACTTGTTGAAATACTTTGTGCTGAGAATTCTATATTGTACCAAAAATATAATATTGAATGAAGCCTATAATAATATTAATCATATATTTGTACATGTTAATATACAGTTGTATACATAAAATAATATTCATTATATCAATTCATATGTACAGTTAATGAAGATCTTGTATTTCTTTTTATTATCATTTGGCTCTTGTTATGTGTATGAATTAATGGAAGTATTAAATTTTCTTTTACCTTAATTATAAGTAGTATGTTAAGAAGTTTTATTAATTTATTTGTGATGATAGAAGTTTACAACAAACGATTAAATGTAAAATGTATTTGTAAAATCTCAGTAAAAGAATATGAAATCAATCCAACTTTTTACCTGGTAATCTGATCGAAGCTTTTTCATCAGGAATATATCCTTGAAAAAGCATTATGATATGGTAATTTTGTTTGAAACACTATGATGATTCGAAATAATCAGGGTTCTTTTTGGAAGGGGGGGGGGTAATTTCCTTAAACTATGCCTTATTAGATAATGATATTGTAAAGCTAATAATTTCTCAGTTTGTATCAGATTTGTGATCAAGAAAATATATTCTTGAAAAACTTAAACCAGGTTGCTAGATGAAACGTTGGATTTACTTGAAATTCATTCACTAAGATTATACAAATATATTCTTCCTCAGTGAATGTCTCATATTAACTGTGCGCCCAAATAATGTGAAACTATTCGATCAAATCTAGACAAAAGTTCATATTAAATGTAGATTAAAAAGTTTTTTTTGTTTAATATTTTTATAATCATTTTGAATTCATGTGAAATTTTAAAGTTTAGTTATTATATACCTGTTAGGACCCGAGAAACATAATGAATGGTAACTTTTGGGATCTATTGATGGACCAATACTAAACGTATATTTCTATTCTATAGTTATTAAGTAACTAAACTATGCATATGCATATTCCTCTTATTATAAGCTTTATTTTGACCCATAAACTATTATTATACGTGTCACCATTCTTGAGTTATACCCAGCATATTAATTACTACCTCCATATTCACAGCCATATCTGGCTAATTCTTGTACAAATGTTGTTTCATATTTTATTGGTACGTTGTGGTGTGTTTGATTGGTATATAAACTCAGTATGTTTGAAATATAATGATTCATATTACAGAGGCTGAGATTGGTGTTCTGGACTTAGCTGTCTTGGCTAGGCAGGAAGCAGGACCAATCAGGACTCTAGGCTGCTCGCACGTGTTTACGCGTCATTGATCCGAACGATAAGTCACTGCTCTCTAATCGGCAATCACATGTCATAACAATACCTATTGAAAATTTCCTAATGAATAACTAATTCTAAGTGATATTATTTATAAAATGAAGACTTTTTTGTTGGAAGAACCTTTACGATAACTGCAGCCAGTAATTCAAGATGTTGTTGTACGATATCCCTTAGAATTGATCACAATCATACAGATTGATTAACTCTTGATCTTTCTTTAAATATTGAGTTCTAATATTCTTTCATTCCATCTTCTCGTAACATATTTTCAGTGTTCAGTTTTTTATTATGATTATTAATAATACTAAAATAACCTCAATTCCTTTGCTATTCCTCATTCAGTTAGACTCGTCATGTCGTGTTAATGTTATTCGACGACTTAAACCAATACACATTTACTCCTTACTTGTATGTTAAATACATATATATTATTATTACTTACTTACGCCTGTTACTCCTCGTGAAGGAGCATAGGCCGCTCGCCAGCATTCTCCACCCAACCCCGTCTTAGGCAATCCTTTCCAGCTCTTTCCAGTTGTTATTAATCCTTTTCATATCTGCTTCTATTTCCCCACGAAATGTGTTCTTTGTCCTTCTTCTTTTCCGCTTCTTTTCAGGATCCCAAGTTAGGGCTTGCCTCGTGATGAAGTTTGATGATTTACGTAATGCATGTCCTATCTATTTCCATCGTCTTTTCTTAATTTCTTCTTCAACTGGAAGCTGGTTTGTTCTCTCCCACAGAGGGCTGTTGTTGATAATAATTATTATTACTTAGTACACAAATTTGCCTGCCGATATTGAATTACGTCGTCATTTCCCCGTTTGTTAGAGTTCCTTTTTTTCTAAATCTAAGAATATGAAATTGTGTAATTCAACCTTTATTGATGAAATTATTATATGCCAATATTATTCACAGCTTCAGATAAGTTACGTAATGATCCATATTCTGAAGAACTAAACTCACTTTTATTTCAATGTATTACATAAATAACATTTTAAAAGTCTCCTGTGAATTATAATATCAGTGGTTGAAATCATGAGTCAATTGAAGCTAGACCACCATGGAAAACCTGGAAGCACTGGACGGCCGTTTCATCCTAGTACGGGACTCCTCAACCAGGTATGTTGTGAGTTAGGAACTCACTGAAGACAATGGTGTACGGTGGCGCAACTTTGTTGATTGGTTCAAGTAAGACATTAACATCATTGCATGTCGGCTCAGTGTTCTAATTGGCGCGTAGCTGATAGGTCCTGGGTTCGAAACTCGCGAGTTGCGGGATCGTGGATGTGCACTGCTGGGGATTCCCATACTAAAACGAAACGACCGTCCGGTGCTTCTAGGTTTTCCATGGTTATCTAGCTTCAATTGACTCGTGATTTCAACCAGTGAAATTTCTAAAAATCTCCACAAAACACATTCTCATAATTATAATATCTTTGTGTATAAATAGAAAAATGCAATTTTGTTTTCGGTATTTTTGATTTAACCAATCGTATGATTTTATACTGTCAGTTTTTAGATCTTCTCTGAATAACTTTGGCGTAGATCACTAACTGTGTTCTTTAAAGTTTATACGTCAAATAGCGTAGGGATTTATACTTTACTTTATAAAGTGATTTATTCAGTAATCAATAAGTTCTTGAGGAAAGTCATAACATAAGCTTGTAGACAAATATGTGAGTAATTACTTATATACGCCTGTTATCCCTTGTGGAGGAGTATAGACAACCCACCAGTATTCTCTATCTCACTCTCTCCTCGACATTAGTTTCTAGTTTTTTCTAGTTGTTATTCATGCTTTTCGACACTGTGTTCTTTGGCCTTCCTTGTTTTCGTTTACCTTCCGGATTCCAAGTTTAGTGCTTGCCTTGTGACGCAGTTTGATGAATAATACTTGCCATACAATTATATATATCTATATAAAAACTATGAACTATTCATTTATGATCAAGTGGTTTAAAGTAGTCAGGAAGAAACCCGCAAACTAGATTTCCTATTAGTTGGCACTCATTATTATTATTATTATTATTATTATTATTATTATTATTATTATTATTAGCTTTATTCAACATTATATTTTTGGTACAACATAGAATTCTCAGCATAAAATATTTCAACAACTTTCCTTTTCTTATATCTTGATCGATTGTGACGATAAATTTTGAATGATGACCAGCTAGATGTTAGGAGTTCGGTAATCCATATTTGAATAATGTTCATTCGTTTCAATGCATATTGCCAGTCACCATGATGTCGCTGATTGTACCTTTTTGTATCCCATATAGCGAAAGGTTGTAAACATTTCATAAACCCGCCTGAATAGATTGTGAGCACAATAGACATAATGATGTTCTAAAACAAACAACAAGACAGATAACTTGATGAAATATCTAGATCAGAGGAGCAGGTAGCCCAGATATTCAAGCAGGCCGCCTGTTTAAGGCTTATCTAGAATCTGAAAAGGACTGATTTTTCCTATGGGATTTGAATTCATAATAATTAGTTCTCGTGAACCTTGAAGCTAATTATTTTACTATACTTTATTTATGAAGTCTATATAGCCTCTTTCGAATGATTAAAAGATATTCAATGAAACAGGTTTCATCTATCACAAATTATTTATAGTGACTACATAGATTTATCTTTTGACAGCAGAGTGTTCAAAATGACAAAAGGAAGGTTATATATTAGCAGACAAGATATGGAAAGGTTTCTGTACTTACTGGTGTACAGCCTGTCAATAATAGAATTTGAAAGCGTGCACGAAAATTAAGGCATTTAGATGTGGTTATCATTTGTCTAAAGAACATTTCAAATATAACTTAAAAGACTTTCTTTCAACATCGATCCATGTATTGACTTTTTTTAGAACATATTGCCTTACTTAGAACCTCAAAACTTATGATAGATAGATAATTAATGAAAGGGTAGAGGACATGATAATTTTGTTTGAAACACTATGATCATTCGAAGGAATCGGTTTTTCTTCGGAATTCCCCTAAAGTATGTCTCAAATAAGCTCAGCTCATGTCAGATCTGTGACTAAAGAACCCATTAACTAATTGGTAATTTCATAGTTCACACCATGAACTGACCGTAACTAGGTGATCATTAGAAATGGTTGTTTATTTCTGGTATGAGACCCATCAATATTGTCCATCTACAACCTCATCAGGGATTTAACTCAAACCTTCTCGGAGTTCTGGTGAGAAGCACTGACCAATCAAGTTCAACCACATAGAGTGTGAGGCAGTTACCCAATAATGGTATTAAAAAACGTTCGCACAATGTTGCAATTGCCTAAAAACAGAAATGTAAATCATTTAGTGTCAATTCAGAGATCTATATCAATATTTGATTGAATATTGATTTACATTGTAAATTCTTTTATAATTATTTCTTACAATTCGATTGATTCAAGTGAAAATAACAACCAACTTAGAATATATCGTTAAAGGCTGCTAGAATATGGTTTAGCTCTTTGGAATTGAAACCTATAATTTCTATGTTCTTATACTATTCCGTTGTAAAAGTGTTTTGATTCTTGGGGGCTTATCGTGTATTCGAAATAAGGGAGGTAATTTATTTAACATGTATCTTATATCGTTTATTCTCATTGTATACATTACACAATTACTTACTTACTTACGCCTGTTACTCCTCGTGAAGGAGCATAGGCCGCTCACCAGCATTCTCCATCCAACCCTGTCCTGGGCAATCCTTTCCAGCTCCTACCAGTTGTAATTCATCCTTTTCATATCTGCTTCTATTATCCGACGTAATGTGTTCTTTGGCCTTCCTCTTTTCCACTTCCCTTCAGGATTCCAAGTTAGGGCTTGTCTCGTGATACAGTTTGACGATTTGCGTAATGTATGTCCTATCCATTTCCATCGTCTTTTCCTAATTTCCTCTTCAGCTGGAAGTTGGTTTGTTCTCTCCGACAGAAGGCTATTGCTGATGGTATCCGGCCAATGGATATTGAGTATCTTGTGTAGACAGCTATTTATAAATACTTGTACTTTCTTGATTGTTGTTGGTGTAGTTCTTCAAGTTTCAGCTCCATACAGTAGAACTGCCT